AAATTTGACTTTATTTTTTAAAATAGCCGTTGTAGCCAACCGGATAGGAGTCTTATCGGGGGGTAGTCAAAACAGCGCCATAATAGAAAACGTTCAAAACAGCGCCGTCAAATTTCTCAAGATCCAAAAAACCAAGCCGCTTCAAGTTTTATATCAAAAAATTCCTTGCGTTCTTGGCTACATGATGGGTGAAACAGTTTTTTAGAAAAGTTAATATTTCATAGATAAAAAGAGCACTCAAAATGGGTCTCTAAAGATATTCAGTTAACCAACTGAGTATCACTCGACACACATTTTGAGTGCTCTTTTTATCTACGAAATATTAACTTTTCTAAAAAACTGTTTCACCCATCATGTAGCCAAGAACGCAAGGAATTTTTTGATATAAAACTTGAACCGGCTTGGTTTTTTGGATTTTGAGAAATTTGACGGCGCTGTTTTGAACGTTTTCTATTATGGCGCTGTTTTGACTATCCCCCGTCTTGTCTCCTAGTCGGGGGGTTAAGGGTTCGATCCCGGCGGCTAGAAAGATTGATTCTTTTTCCCATTATTATGGGTTTTTTTCTTAACAACATTTAGGGGTAATTAGGGGTAAAAATCTCCTCCGTTGTGTTGTAATTCATTATTCGTGTCGAATAAATAAATATACATACAAACAAGATATAAACAGACTTAAAGACTCTTCTTTTTCGTCTCAACTTCATCAATTTCAAAGAAACTCCGAAAACATGTTTGATCTTGCCGCCAGAATTGTTTGATCTTGTTTGATCTGCTCTGTTTCTTCATTTCATCGTGTCATTTAATTAAGCCTGTCCTCACCGATCGTATTTTGAAATCTGTTTTCAAATCGAGCTCCATTGCCATTGTTGGCAGACCTGAAAAGCGAAAATCTAAAAATTTGGCAGGCACGCACGAAAAAAAAAATTTGGCTGCCTTTATTTGATGAAACGGGTTTTTAGCTCAATCTGATCAAGGATATAAGAGAATTTTTGGAATCGAAAAGATTGATGAGAATGGATTTGCTTTTCTTTTCTTTTCATTTCCTTAGACAGAAATGACTTCTCGTAGACAAAAGATTGCTTGTTTCAAAGTTAGAATCCCGCCGTGAACGATGTTTTGTGCATGAAAAGAGACAAGGTCAAAAAAAAGGGACAAGGACAAAAAAAAAAACAAGACAAAGCTGATCGTGAGATTTTGTTTTCTAGCCGAAAAATGATTGATTTGTCTTTTTGAATGAAATGAGTCATCCATTGCTCAAATCTAATGACGCTTGAGCACAAAAAGCAATCGTATTCTAGAATCGCTTATGCTTTCAGTTTTTTTGCCATTGTCTAGGTGCTGATCAAGTGATATTAGCAAATGAACCGATTTGACAAAGGAACCAAAAAGTTCAGTGATCTTTGAAGAAGTTCAAGTTTTTTTTTGCCCGTTTGTGATCGAAAGATCAAAAGAGTTCTGTCACTTTTCTGATAAAGACATTGTTCAATCATTTTGTCTGGTGTAATTTGAGTACTGTAGACCTTTGTGCTTTATTCTTTATTCAGTTGCTTTATTCAGTTGAATAGCGACAAGAAAAAATCACAATAATTACCCGGGACACCACTCAAAACACACCCAAAAGATAAATGGATACCTCAAGAAAGAATCACAGAGCAGTGTATAAAATAAAAACGATTATAAAGCAAAAACGAAAACAAAAACATGAACGAAAACAAACAGAAAAGAACTAAAATTTGAATTTTGAAGATCCAAGTTATGTTCCAAGTTATGGACACTAATGACTTGTATAAGTTAGCTCAGGTAAGTAACGTTGTGGTTACAATAATCTTTGACCACTTTGGCTATGGAATCTGCATAATTGCAGACTGGGATAAGTGTTATAAGTCATTTTTTTGGCCTTTCGATCAAGTTCTCGATGTAAGTTAGGTACAATTTTTTTCTGTATTCTTGAAATGTTATATGACCGGTTGGCGTAAAATCGAGCGAGTATTCCACAAATAAAACAATCCAGCTGGCATGCCACATCTAATGTCTTATATAAGTTAGCTCAGGTAAGTAAAGTTGTGGCTACAATAATCTTTGACCACTTTAGCTATGAAATTTGCATAATTGCAAACTGGGATAAAGTCATTTTTGGTGTTATAAGTCATTTTTGGCCTACATTTTTTGGCCTTTCGATCAATTTCTCGATGTAATTTAGGTACAATGTTTTTCTGTATTCTTGAATTGTTGGCCGGCCGGTTGGCGTAAAATCGAACGAGTATTCCACAAATAAAACAATTTCCACAATCCAGCTGGCATGCCACATCTAATATCTTATATCAGCCAGCTCCGGTAAGTAAAGTTGTGGTTACGGTAATCTTTGACCACTTTAGCTATGGAATCTGCATAATTGCAGATTGGAATAAGTGTTATAAGTCATTTTTCGGCCTACATTTTTTGGCCTTTCGATCAAGTTCTCGATGTAAGTTAGGTATTGTACCTTCTGTATTCTTGTTTTTCTGTATTCTTGAATTGTTAGATGACCGGTTGTCGTAAAATCGAACGAGTATTCCACAAATAAAACAATTTCCACAATCCAGCTGGCATGCCACATTTACAATGAAAAGATCGAATCGTCAAACGAGATTCGGTAACATTTTTTTGCGATAGCAATTTTTTGTTTTTTTTTTGAGGGAGATCGCCGGGAGACGATAAAAGCAGAAAGATGCGATGGAGGCGATGTTGGGTATTTGAACCGGTCTCATAAAAAAAAGGAAAAACGGAGGAGGAAGGAAGTCAGATGACTTCTAGCAGACACTTTTCCTTAAAGGAGGTGCTTGTAGAGGCTGTAGGGATGACTGGGGGGTGGAGAGGATGACGAGGCCGATCCTCCTCTCCACTCTCCTCACCCACCCCAAACAAGCGGCTCGAAAATAGCATAAAAGCCAACCCACCATAAACACCAATCTCATTTTTGCTCCAGTTTTTTTTTTGGAAATAGAAACGATCCCTTTCTTCTTCTTCTTCTTTTGGTCTATATCTTGATTCTTCTAATATCATTACTTTTTATATTTCATTTTAAATTCTTACTTTATCTAACAAATTTCCAGCAATGAGGTGGGGTCTTTTGTTCTTGGCGATTGCCGCCTTTGTCGCTGTTTCGTTTGCCGATGATGTGAGTTATTTGAATAGAAATATGGCTTGAATGAAGATCAATATCAATAAGATCAATAGATAAAACAAATATAATACAATTCTCTGTTGATTAGCCCTTTAAAACTCTTGTTTCAGTCTTAGAACTTCTACTCTACATCTATTTTAGCGTTAGCAAGTTCATGTAGAAGTTGTAGAAGGTTCCAGAAGTTGTAGAAGGTTCTAGAAGTTGTAGAAGTTCTTGGGGTAGTTGTAGAAGTTGTAGAGGTTGTAGAAGTTGTAGAAGTTGTAGAAGTAAGTTGTAGAAGTTCTAGAAGTTGTGGAAGTTCTTGGGGTAGTTGTAGAAGTTCTAGAAGTTCTTGGGGTAGTTGTAGAAGTTCCAGAAGTTCTTGGGGTAGTTGTAGAAGTTCTAGAAGTTCTTGGGGTAGTTGTAGAAGTTCCAGAAGTTCTTGGGGTAGTTGTAGAAGTTCTAGAAGTTCTTGGGGTAGTTGTAGAAGTTCCAGAAGTTCTTGGGGTAGTTGTAGAAGTAAGTTGTAGAAGTTCTAGAAGTTCTAGAAGTTCTAGAAGTTCTAGAAGACGAGTTAATTTAAACAAATAGTCTGTGAGTACGCAGAGATTATCTAATTGAACAGTTTACTTAAAAATAGACTACTATTTAATGACTATTTAGCTAGATTATTTAGCTAGATGAAATTTACATTGATATTTTGGTATTCAGGCGGCTACCGAGGCGACCACCGCTGCTGTGGCTGAGTCAACAACTGCCGCTCCAGCTGAGTCCACCGCCGCTCCCACCACCAAGAAAGCTGTTGTGGTTTGTTTTAAAAGTTCAAAGATTTGATTCAGATTGAAAGCTTAATGCTAGACAAATTTTAGCCCAAGAAGCACGCCAAGAAGCACCACAAAAAGGGGAAACTCCGCAAACAGCACAAGAAGAACCGCAAGAACTGGAAGAAAAACAGAAAGGTTGTGGAATTAAAGGGAAAAACTTATGAAATTGCTTTTAGGCAATCGTGAAAGCCCGTCGTGCCGCCGCTCGTAAACACCGCAAAACTCTCCGCAAAGTGGCTGCTCGTCGTGTTGCCCGCAGAAGATTCTTGAAGGTAAATGGGAAAGAAAACTTGTTGGATATAGTACTAAAATGTTTTGTTGTTGATTAGAAGCTTTTGTTAAAGTCTTATAGTTCGTTAGAGTCAACATAGTCAACATAGCCATTCAGCTATAAGTTCTGTCTCAGTCACTAGATTATTTCAAAGATCCAGTCCAGTCTTGCGATCTAAAGATCCAGTCTTGCTAATGGTAATGAGAAAGAACAGTGAGCCTTTACAAGACCTTGACAGGTTAGGCTTAAGATGTTAGCTTTAGATGGCTTTAGACTTCTCCCTGTTCCAAACCCAATTCAAAACAGACTAGGTTAGGCTTTAGATGCCTCTAAATGGAATTAGAAATAAAAGTTATAGATGTTATAGATTATAGATATAGATTTAGCTATTCTATTGGATCAAAATTAGCTTTTAAATGCAATTAATTAGCTTTTAAATGCATGATCTTAATTGAAAACCCATAAACTTTTTCTAGAAGCGTACCGCTGCCCGTCGTGCTGCCGCTCGTCGTGCCGCCAACAAACGACGCACTCACAAAAGAGCTCACAAGAAAGCCTTCAGAAAGGCGCACAAGAAACACTTCTCCACTTAATAACTTGAATTTTTAGTTATTTATCAGATAATTTATTACAATGACGCCCATGATGAAATAAAGGGTTGATAAAAAAAATACAAAAAACGAACAATAACATTTAGACAATTGTTATCTTTAAATGTAACGGATCAAAACAATCAAAACATATTTATCTTTAAATACAAAAGATGATTGAGGTTGAGGATGAGGATGAGATGGAGGATGAGGATGAGATGGAGGTTGAGGATGAGATGGAGGATGAGGATGAGATGGAGGTTGAGGATGAGATGGAGGATGAGGATGAGATGGAGGTTGAGGATGAGATGGAGGATGAGGATGAGATGGAGGTTGAGGATGAGATGGAGGATGAGGATGAGATGGAGGTTGAGGATGAGATGGAGGATGAGGATGAGATGGAGGTTGAGGATGAGATGGAGGATGAGGATGAGGTTGTGGATGAGATTGAGGCTAAGGATGAGAAATGAGCTTGAGGATCAAACGATATTTATTCTTCGTCAGTAAAAAGATATTCAATTTTCTTTGGCTTGAGTACATGTACATGACACTACAAAGTACAGGACACTTACAAAGTACATGACAAACCCCAAATTGCAAAATTTGCATATGAAATTAGCATATGAAACATTTAACTTGCTAAAGAGGATTAAGAATTTCATTTTTATTTGCTTACTTGTGTAAATGATGGCGGTTGAGGACTCAGAATTCCCACAATTTCCCAAGAATTTCAACGCGATCACCGTAAAACCCGAGAAGATTACGGTATGCGCTTTGATATTCTTAATATTCGCTTTAATATGATGTTACGGAAAAGAGGACTTTTATAAGTCCGCAGCACGATTTCCCGAGTGGACACTCAAACTTTGGACACGTTTTTCTCGCATATTTTTAAATATGGGCAAAAACTGAATAGAGAAACGGATTCCCCGTGTCCGATAGGCGTTTGTATCTCAATTTTGACGCCGTTTGCACGGCGTCAAAAGCAGCTACGGTCATTTTGTGGGATCTCCTTGTAAGCTCTATCACACTTTTCAAGCTCTTTTAAAAAATAAAATTAGAATATGGCTTTTGAATTGGTTTATTTTGTGCAGATTAAATCCTTGTTAAATTTTGTTTTGGTCATCAAATCAGTGATGCACGCTTAACTGAGTATCTTTTAACACTGTAATAGTACAGTCGCGTAGTCGCAAAAAAAGTTTTTTCTAGTTTTTCATTTTCAAAGCATTCGTAATTTCAAAAAATAACCCTTAATTTCAGCTATTTTTTGATACCGCAGCGAGCATTCTAGCATAAATGAGTGTCGAGAAAAACGCTTCAAAGCTAGACTACGCGACACACCGTACCGTCATTATTGGTGGTGGGGTACTATTAAAGGATTTACGGTAGCTCATGTTCGAACAAGAAAACAGAATAAGAATTCAGATAGAATTCTATCTGAATTCTATCTGAATGCTATGATGTAGCAATTATTCTGTTTTCTTGTTCGAACATGAGCTACCGTAAATCCTTTAATAGTACCCCAGCTCTATAATGACGGTGCGGTAATTTAATATCGGTGATCACTTTTATTGCCTTTTTTTTCAGGTCAATGGAGGCGAATGGAAAGCTGAGGTGATCATCGAGAATCAAGGGCCCAATCCAATACTCTTCAAGGTGGAGAAAAGTTTGATCTTATTCAAAAACCAACCGAAAAACCGGGGGTTTTTTGTCGCCGTGGCACAGTTGAGAGTGTGCTTGTCTACGGCCCATACGGTCCGGGTTCGATTCCCGGGTGTTTCACCGAACATTGATTTTTTTAGTTTTTTAACTGGCACAACTACAGACAGACAGACAGGCAGACACTGCTCTTTTATATATAATAGATATTCAGGGTTAAACCTGTAGACAGTAACCCTTTTATTATATATCTTTTAGGTGAAAGTGACAAACAATAAACGGTGTCGTGTCAACAATTGTGCCGACGTGATCATGCAGAATAAGACGGTTACGGTGAGTGAAGGGGCTTTTGATTAGATGAGGTTATCTAGATAAGAAATGAGAATCTATTACCTCTATTATCTAGATAAGCTATTACCGGGTGTTTCACCGAACTTTGTTTCACCGGCTTTTGATTAGATGAGCTTATCTAGATAAGAAATGAGAATCTATTTACTTCTATTATCTAATCTATTATCTAGATAAGCTATTTACCTGTAAACTTTAAGCATGAGGAATCTATTTTACTATGTCCATAAGCCTTATTGTTATACTTTTATTATGATTCATTCACAGAGTTGTACAGCCCCAGTTTACGGTAGTTTTAGTATTCAGCCTATGAGATTGATTTCAAATATCTTCGCTTGATCTTCAAATCAAATCTTTGCATTCATCAGACTACTTTGGAGCATACTGTAGTAAAATAGAAAAGCTTACTTACAGCTTGCTTACGCTCACAGTAACAGTGCAGTACAGTTACAGTACGCTTACAGTATCTTGAAAGACTTGAGGCGTTGAGAATGAACAGAATTGAAGATTTCAACCTTCTCTTTCATTCTCATTTACTTCATCCTCATTTACTGTAGTCTCCAGTTAACTCCAGAAATACCGTAATCATTTAAGCTTTTCTGCTTTTCAGGTGTCACTACAAGGAACCGGAGTCGAACCAAAAGATGAGGATCGATTGATCATCATCTACACACAATACACCGCTCCCGCAATTGTCGCCCCGAATGCTTTCCTTGTAAGCGGATAGATTTGGCCTTAAGCTACAGCTAACGAAAGTTCAGCTAACGAAACTTACAGTAGAATTAACCTTTTTTTTATTTCAGGCTTGGCAGCGTGCAAAAACTCGTGACGTCATTTCGAAATCCATGACGATTCCGTTTGAAAAAGAAGTGAAATGTTAAAAATTTCGTGAATGAAAAAAGAAAGATTTTAAACGGGAATAAAAAAATTTGCTTTTATGTTGATTTATTTACAAATTCTTTACTAGCATTGTTCCATTCTATTCTTCAATTTTTCAAATTTTAAACTTTAAAGAAAAATTACGGTAGTATTTCAAATTACCGATTTTTAGAAAACGTATTACTCCGAATACTTTCTCTGTATTACTCCGAATAAATGAATCGATGGATGGGAGAGATCTTGATTCTTACCGACTTTTAGAGAACGTATTACTCCGAATACTTTCTATCCACAAAATTCCTAGAAAGCAAAACCGAAAAAGCAAAAAAAAAAAAAAAAAAAGTCAAATTGCTACTCACTCAGCAGTAAAGAGCAAAAGCGTGTGTGGAGATTGAAATGAATCGATGGATGGGAGAGATCTTGATTCTCCACCCCGATACGCCCTTCAAACTTGTGCGTAGAGAAAAAAAGCGAGTAGATTTGAAGGAGAATGGGGAAAAAGAATCGAATATCGGATATGCGTTGTCTCTTTCCACAAGGAGATTTTCTCAAAGGAGGAACTCGTCGATCTCTTCACTCAATTGAATCGTTCAAATGATTGCAGTGAAGTGTTCACTTTTTGAGTTTCCTAACAATCAAGGATAAATCAAGATGAAGTTCTGTGAAATTTAAATGTTCGGAATTTGAATTCTTTCAGTATTTTATCATTTAAATTGTTCAAGTTTTGGTGTTCAAAGCTGGCATAGAATTTGACTTTGCAAGAACTTGCAACTTGTGCACCCCTTGCAACTTGTTATACCAAAAGATAAAGCTGTTAGCTAGGTAGAAAACGGTTAAGAACCCTTAAATGTTAAGAAAATTATTAAGAAATATGTAACTAATGAATCTCAAAAGTCTAATGCCTTATCCTTTGGGGAATTAATGCATCCAAAGCTCCATTAGTGGAACTAATTCAAAGAATCGAGACGGGATCTGAAACATTAAGAATCCAACAATTAGACTTGGAAAAAAGCGAAAGACACAAAAAGAGAATCCCTTTGAAAGACTTTATTCGTTTCTCTAATCTTTTGTTGGAAGAGATGGCGCGGACTAAAAGTACGGCACAGACAGATACCCGCCCTCTCTTCCAGAGTCGATTTAAGAGATCGAAAATTTTCCTCCAGCAACAACCCCATCACACAACGAATGAGGCGCACATTTTTCAACGTTCTCTAGCTCATTGAAAGATTTTCTAGAAAATATTCATCTTTTTAAGCTTACAGATACCATATCTTTTCTCATTACCTTATCCTCAAAAAATAGGCTGAGAGACGGAATAGTTTTCGAATTCAGTCCTATCGGCTGAATTTGCTCATTCCGGCATACTGTAGTGATACAAGAGACTTAAAGATTCCTTCAGTATTGTTACCTTCAAGATATTCTAACCATTTGAACTTGACTCTGATTAGATTTTCACTCCAAAATTTCAGAAAATGAGGTGGGGTTTTGTGGCTTTGGCAATTTTGGGTTTGGTTTCTCTGGCGCTGGCCGAAAGCAACGCCGAAGCCGAGTTTGAGGTGAGCATTGCAAATAAATTTCTAGATTCTCAAAATAAGAAATCCTGGATAAAAATGGAATTTGAACTTTACTAATAGATGTTCCTAGTCATAAAATCGATCACCCATGTTTAGACAGCCATTGCCATCGACGGAGACAAAGACCTAGAAGTAATCCGCGAGAAGCGGCACGTTGGTCGTCGTCACCGCAATGTATGTTTAATCTGAAGTTTATATTACAAGCATACTGTAGAACCTGTAGCATATAGCATTATCGCATAGCTATGAGAAAATTTTGTTGTAAAACACTTTATGGGTGTTTTAAAAGCACGAATCATTTGTAAGTGGTATTACGGTAGATAAAGTTATCTGAAAAATTTTCAAAATGATACATTATTAGTAGATCGATTTCAGATCCGTCACAAGCGTATCTCTCGTATCCGTGCCCGCCGTGTTCGTCGTCTCCGACACCAACGAGCTCACCGAAAAGTTGCTCGTGCTAACAGAAACAAGTGAGTTCTGAGGAAACCAGATGAATGATATTGATTGTCAATCCGTTCAATGAAACAAAATCTAGGAAACGAACAGTGATTCGTGCTCGCAGACTGAACCGTACCGCGAGTCGTCGACTTCGACACGCCCGTAAATGGTTTGCCAAGAACCGAAAGCTTCAGAAAATCCTCCGAAAACAGATCCTCCGGGTAAGTTGAAAATATCAAATGGCAACAAAAGGCTATGATGAGCCGGGAAAATTTAACAATTTCCAGGCTCGCCGTGCTCAACGTCGAGCTCGCATTGCTAACCGTCGTCACGCTCGACACCACCGACAACACAAACGCCGACACCACAAAAGGGGTTGAACTATTTTCGAATCGCTAATTATTTATTGATTTGCCTTGAATAAATAATATTAATAGTTTCATCAATTTATTAAACAAACGAGAACAACAAATTCCAACAAAAACAACAAATATCCGTAGGTAGCAAATCTATAACAATAACAAAAACAAAAAAACCGTAATCACGCCAAATCGAAGTCATCCAACGCCTCATTGTATTCAAGCACTTGTTCACGAATTTTCGATGCCCGACACCACGTAATCATATCTTCCTAAAAAGATTGTCAATTTAAGAATTCCTCCGTTCCTAATTCATCAAATATCCTAAAAAAATATGTATTTACAAACCTGTGCTCGCGTGACCATAAAAGCCGGATCCATGGCCAATTTGGGGCCAACTCGAATATGCCCTTGTTCAACAAAATCGCTGGCTTGTCGAACCGAAGGAACCATTTCAGATCGCTTCATACAAACAGGGAGACGTCTTCGAGCAAAAGAAGATCCCGAAATCTAAAAGTTTTTGAGTTTTGTAAACAACTTAATGTGATGAAAAGTGTTTAATTCATTGTAAAACTAATTTTGCTTAAAATCAAGCTTTACATTTGAGGCCTTTTCAAGTGTGTCGGCTGTTGCGATGATCCCGAGGGTGTAAAGCTTTCCCAGAAGTTCTTTCGTTTTTTCTTGTCGAAATGATTCTCCTTGCGGAAGATCTTTCAATTTGTTGGCAATCGTTCGTACCTAAACGTTGTCAGATGCTTAAAAAAATTAAGAAGCTAAACTTACATCATTAGCAAGTCGATTATATACGGCATAATGCTCTCGTTTTGTCACATGATATTTCTGCATCATTTCTGCCTGCTTATTCTTTTGATCGATCTAAAACAAATTTGAAAATACGTACATACAGTTAAAACTAACCTCCCATGTTATGAAGTCGGTCTTTCTTAGCAACTTCTGCTCGTGGAACTTCAACTTTCGTACCATCTTGCCTTAATTTAGAGAATAAAATATTAAATGACCAAAATGAAAAAAATCTGCATCTCTCACTAACAGCCAACAAAATATAGCACCCAATCTACAGTATCCCACTCCACTTTCGACCTGCCTATAATTTTTTCTCTCTTCAATGAAATCAAGTGCAACATAACACGTAAATACAATTGAAAGGGAAAAATCTTTAATAACTTTTTATTCATTTTTTACTATTCTTCAAAGAAATTGCATTTTAAAAAAGCAAGAATTATTCGTGACCAAGGTGATCGCAGCCTTTCCACCAGGCCGTTTTGCTTACACGTTGTAGAATCGGGAGTTTGGATCGTTCTAAAAGCAATTTTCATTTTCAATTGGAACACTGAACGTAAAGTACCATAAAAAAAACTCCTGTCATCGGTGTTTGTTGGTGCTTCTGCCTCAATCATCGTCATAACTGGTTTATCCGCCTAAAAATAATAAATCAATGCATACTTCATTTAAATCGTACGCTTAAGAAGTCCTTGAGTTGCTTCTTGTTTTCGAGTTTTTTCTTTTCGTATGCCCAAGGCATATTATATCCATCGGACATCATCTCAAAAAATTGTTTAGTACTTGTGGGGTTGGGGGGGCAACTTTTTCTAAGGCAGTTTTTTTTGCGTAAATCACGAATTTCATAGTGGGAGCTCGGGAAAATGCGTTTTAGACGAACTTTCGGGGACCCGAAGTCGCCGCCTCTACACTTGCACTTTACTGCGGGCTTGTATCAGGAGAGCCCATTTAAGGCTTCAGAGGATTTTTTCAACATGCAAAAACACTTTCTTTGCATAATTGAGTGTCCAGAACATGAAAATAGCAAAATTAGATCTTAAAAAGCAAAAATGAAAATTTCGCAAAATTTTTCTACTCGAATTTGGTTAGCAATTTGGTCAGCATTTTCCCAAGCTCCCACTATGAAATTCGGGATCTACGCAAAAAAAACTGCTCTAGAAAAAGCACTTTTGAAAAAAAAAAGTTGCCCCCCGACCCCACAAGTACCAATTGTTTTTCCCGTGATTGTTAAAAGAATATACCTCAAACATCAGACATCCAAAAGACCAAACGTCGCTTCGAAAATCGAAAGTTCGCTTGTCAAAGACTTCGGGGCGCCCACCAAGACCAATCCAAATCGGTCAAATCTGCGGCAGTTGAACCAATCTAAAAGGTAAAATTTATAAACTGTACGCTCATACGTTAATTACCTTGTTGAGGAAATGATAGGGGAGCATATAATCCGAAATCTTGACACGATAAATGTAGAGATGTCATCTGAAATAATAAATGATCGATTTGGTTTTATCTGAAAAAAAAAAGTTCAGATTATACATCTGTACATGTAAGTTAAATGCCTCTATGAGAAGCGGAATTGAGTAGTTTACATGGGGTAGGCTAATTTGCGGAACTCGCCATGACTTTCTTCTAAGTGAGTCAATCTTTATGATTTTGTTGCACTTATTAAGATCTACAATAAGTGGGGGCTCTACTCTTTATACGCCTATCATAATCGACTCAAGAGACCTTGATTTTCTACCCTTCAGTTGAATATTTTCTATATTTTCTTTTCGTCCCCATCTCGATTGCATCATTCATTTCATTCTTCACGACCACATCAAAAGTTCCTCAACCAATTTCTAGTCCCCAAATGATGCAACGCATTTCCAACCACGAAATTTTCCTGCGCATTTTTATTTTTCATGAATTTTTAGAGGGGTGCGGTTGTTTGTTACATGGTCGTTCTTTGCCTTCCTTTCCCTGGGCGCTGGGCACATCGATTCTCTGTCTGCCGCCTCCTTTTCTTTCTCGGTCTCTATTCCCGCACTCACCCCATTTGCCTTTTTTTTAGTTTTTGTCGCCGACGCTCCCTAGCAGTCGGCACTCTCTAGCAGTCGCTCTCGGGCGTTCGCTGCTCAAATCTTTGCCAACGTTAGGCCTTTTGTGGATCTCCAATTTATTCAATGGTTTTTGTTTTCCAACGTTTTAACTTTGTACAATTATCCATTTTATTTAGGTAACCAAATTTAACTTCCAAGGAAGATGTCAAAGCCAAAGGTTGGAATCAACGGATTTGGACGCATCGGCCGTCTCGTGTTGCGCGCAGCCGTCGAGAAGGACACCGTCGATGTTGTTGCCGTCAATGATCCATTCATTGACATCGGCTACATGGTTTGACTTTATGAATTTGAAATCAATAATTTGTGTTTAGGTTTACATGTTCACGTATGACTCCACTCACGGACGCTTCAAAGGAGAAGTTCGAGCTGATGGAAACACCCTCATCGTTTCCAAGGAGGGAAAGGGCACCCACAAGATTGCCGTCTTCAACAAGTAAATTTTGGGACTTATGGTTTACATTAGCGTCCTTTTACAATGATACATATTTGGAAAATCGTCAAATGTTTACTTGAAAGAGATGTTGTGAGGGGTAAAGGCTATTACACTCTCTTTCCGCTCTTTATTTGATTTTCTCGCTATCTCTCCCGATCTCAGGGTCAGAGTTGGCAGAAAAAAAATGACCACCTGGAGAAATAGTGTGTTGGTTATGAGAGGCTTGAGAACAAAAGAGATATTATCACACAACTGCAATATTGGGTTTTTTTAGCAGATATGTAGTACCAAACTTGGTAAATTAAAAATAACAAGATTTGTGAAAGATTGGAAAATTATTATTGTTGTTTAGCCGTGACCCCGCCGAGATTCCATGGGGAACACAAGGTGCGGACTATATCGTTGAGTCAACTGGCGTCTTCACGACCATCGAGAAAGCCTCAGCCCATTTGAAGGGAGGAGCGAAAAAGGTGTGCTCTATGAAAGTTTGCATTGGTTACTTTAAATTTAGGTCATCATTTCTGCTCCATCCGCTGATGCGCCAATGTTTGTGATGGGAGTCAACGAGAACCTCTACAACCACGAGAATGACCACATCATTTCGTATGTGATTTAGTTTGCAGTAAACAAGAGACATCATAATTGTTTGCGAATATTTTTGTTTAGAAATGCTTCGTGCACAACGAACTGCCTCGCTCCAGTCGCGAAGGTCATTCACGACAACTTTGGCATCCTTGAAGGTATTGAATATATTTTCAACTATTTTCAACTTTTTAATTTAGGTCTCATGACTACTGTTCATGCCGTGACTGCCACCCAGAAGACTGTCGACGGCCCATCTGGCAAACTTTGGAGAGACGGAAGAGGCGCTGGACAAAACATCATTCCCGCGTCGACTGGAGCAGCCAAGGCCGTCGGAAAAGTTAGTTTGTTAGCTAAGTCATTTAATTTCAGCACTTAGGTCATTCCCGCTCTTAATGGAAAATTGACTGGCATGGCTTTCCGTGTGCCCACCCCAGACGTCTCTGTCGTTGATCTCACCTGCCGCCTTGAGAAGCCAGCCGACATGGAGACCATCAAGAAGGTTGTCAAGGAAGCCGCGGAGGGACCACTCAAGGGAATTCTCGCTTACACTGAAGATCAGGTATAGTTTCGGAAATGTATACTGTAAGTTTTTATTTTAAGGTCGTGTCGACTGACTTCGTTGGAGATACGAACTCGTCGATCTTTGATGCTGGAGCTTGCATCTCCCTCAATCCACACTTCGTCAAGCTTATTTCATGGTATGTGCATCTAGCTTAAACTAGCCTTAAGTTGTGTTTTTAGGTACGACAACGAATATGGCTACTCAAACCGTGTGGTCGATCTCATCTCGCACATTGCGAAGGCCTAAAGAAAATTTTGATGGCACTAGACCCAATGATTGTAGTTTAGTTTTATTGTGTTATTCTCAAGCTGTAACTTTAGTGTATTGTCTTCAATAAACTGTGAATGGTCAACTAGGATAAAATGTACAAAGAGACAATTCAAAAACTTGCAGAAAACAAACACTGGCGACGGGAAAATTTAAACGCGGTCAGTCATTCATCAGCACTTGCTCGGTGTTGACTGATAAGAGATAGGTTGTTCCTACTCTTAGTCACTCGCTATCAAGCCATGCAAAGTTTCAAATTTTGAATTTGTACTGCTCCTTTTTGAAAACTTGACATCAATGGGAAATCTTCGAGGCTCTCAACAACTATCCGACACATTTGTCAGTCTACCGCGAAGAGAAAAGGGACCCGAATATCGCAGACCGCTATGTGGGAAAATCAGTTATCATGTAAGTTTGCAAAGTGTACAATGATATAAAGAAAATCTAGACGGCTGTACTGATCATCGCTACTTTAGAGGGAGCATTTTGGCTCTATGAATTTATACTTTTCCTTTTCAGTATCATTCATCATCACAAATGGTGTAAGTCAAACGAGAAAAAATTTCCAATTACACTCATCAAGAGTTTAGGGAGCCTTTTGCTGACAGGAATCGCCCTAATACTCACTTTCTTTGCTATAGGCTGTCTAGTTTACGGAGCTCTCAATAAACGACCAGGATTCGTACAGATTCACTTGATGTATATGGTAAGAAGAGCTCGATTTTGGAAAGTCTGAAACGAATTTAAGATTGTTTCTATAGCATGGTTGCTAGCATTGGTACTTGGATGTCTCGCTCTTACAGTATTACCGTATCCAACAGTCAATAACTATTTTGGCTATGATGGTAGTCAAAAAGATGGTCAGTGGAAAGTTTCAAAAATTTAACATTTACATCACTTTGCAGCTCGAATATTCGCTATTGTGATGGTTTGTGTTCTTGTCTTGATGATGATATCAAGGATTTTTATGGTAGCATTTAAAAACAGACCACGCTATTCGTTTTTCAGACAATTGTCATCTATCGTTATTGGAGAATTGTCAAATATCAAGTCACTCGGACAGAGAGTCTTGTTTGAGAAATGATATTGCAAGTATTTTCGATCTCGTATTTTATCCTTCAATAAACTTCAAAAATAAAAAACAACAACAAAAACCATCATACTGACATAGATCATTGCTTTTCCAAATACGAGATCATCATCGCTATTCGTTTTAAACACTCATTTCGGCCAAAGAAGTCGTAGAGTTCCAGTACCGGTGGTCCTGTAGAGTGGCCACTAAGTGAAATCCTAGAAAATGGTAACGAATAAATTGTCCACCCAAAGCACCTGAGCATTTTGTAAATCACTTTATGATTCGTGTCGAAACGGTCAGCAATCGTTCGCAAATTTTGAAGAGTCCATGGGGGAGGTAATTCGAAGATTGCTGACAAAATCTCATGAGCTATACCCGCTGGCATTTTTGATGTTAACTAAAAGAGTTCCTAAGTATAAAATTTAATAAACTAGCCTCATCCGAATTTTGAGGGCGAGTAAAGAAAAATCGAAACTGCGGTGTTGTTATAAGACTCAAAGAAGAAAAATTTTCTTCCTTCTCTCGCAAAAAGTCTATAACCTAAAACATCAAATTAATAATCATAATAAAAATTACATGTAAAAACCTTCTTCAAATACACCCGATCCTCACAAACGTCCTCACAATCAGGAAGATCTTTCTTCACTTGAGCGCTTATCAAAGGAATAAGCTAAACAAGCTACGTTTATTTTTTTTGCTTTAACCAAGCACCTCATCGATAGACGCTTTCTGAAAACTGAGACGACCATAATTCTCCAAAATATTTACATCAACCTAAAAAAGTTTTATCTTTAATATGCTCCCCAATTACTTGTAAATTCCGCTTCCCAATAATCGATAGGTCAAAAGAGGAAACCATTTCTTCAAGACTGTAAAGTCGGGTCGGATCAAAGCTTTGAATTCCACTTCCATTTCTAATCTGAAGGAAAAGAATTGCGCATAAGTTAAACGCCAAAAACTCACCAAGAGATTTAAAACGGCTAGAGGCAAGTATCCCTTTTCCTTATGATAGTAGTCGACGAAGGCATCAGCATCACGTTTTGAAAGCTTCCGACGGCCATCTCGTGTGAGAAGCGATAAATGAACAAATTCTGGCGGTTTCCATCCAAATGCCCTAAAATACGACATTTTAAACCGAAAGAATGAATTCAGACTTGTACAGCAGGACATGTTTCCCGGTGCTTGACAACCACTCCATACCTCGAATTACGTGTGAAATTGACATTAATCTAAAAAAATTTCCCTCCAATTAACTCTGAAACCAACTTATCATCCACAATATTCGCAAAGTGATACGTTGGAAAATTGTCTGATTTCAGGAGAATCGGATCCGATTCATCAATCGTTTGAGATACACTTCCAAAGACATGATCCTAAAATAAACCTATTAGCAACGGAATTTTCTGAAAGTAGCACCTGGAAGTTAACCTCCTGTGTATCAATTTTGAAGCGTACGACAAAATTTTCTTTCGATTGTGCACGTCTTAAAGACTATAAAGAAATGTGAGAAACAAATTGCGCAAAACCTCTTCTTTATTTATCGCACGACATCTCATATCATATTTGGGGACTTGGTTTGTTCGAGCTGCTTCTTTTCTGAGTAGTTCTAGTCGCTAAAACTGATATGCCGCTTGAAAAAAAAATTGTTTACCTCTGGTGTACAAAAACAACGATATGCATGACCTTGCTCAATGAGACGTTCTGAGTATTCTTTGTATAAGGGCAATCGCTCGGATTGGGTATAAGGTCCATGGCTTCCACCTGAAAACAGTATAGATTCAGTTTTTTGGTCAAACCTTGTTTAGGCCCTTCGTCGGGATTGAGATGATAATGATCTAGGATGTCGTTGATCTAAAGTGATCAATTAAATACTACATTTTAAGCAGGTAATAGTACGAAATTAAGTTTTCAGCTTTTCAGATAGTAAGCATAACAATTACCTTTTCGACGCTTCCTGGTACAAGCCTTGATTGATCTGTATCTTCAACTCGCAGGATAAATCTACCTAAAGTATCAAAATGAAAAATTGTATTAAAGAAACTTGCCATTCCTCGAGCGAGCGAAAAGATAGTTATATAGAGCCGTCCGCAATCCTCCAAGATGAAGTTGACCCGTGGGAGAAGGGGCAAAACGAACCTTAAATTCTAATTTTTTTTAATCGTCTATTAATCTGACACTCACCCTCACATCCGTAGAACAATTCCGAGAAACAAGCTGGAAGAGAAACCTGGAGCTCATATTGCTAAACGACAAAAAAACTTCTCCCATTGAAATTGGTAACTCACTCCGTGTTCTAAAGGCGGAAATTTATGCTGGTCTTTGCATGTGCAACCTAAATAAACCAAATTAAAAGACATAAATGTTTCTTCCAAATATAAAAGCATGTGCAACGCAATCTATATACGTACTTTATATGACAATATTTATTCCAAATTCAAAAATCATACTTAATTCTCTGCTTGATTCTTTATTTCGTGCTTTTTACTCCACCAGCCAAATACACGTGCTCTCCTCGCGCCTCCATTTGGCTCAAAAACGCACCCTTCTTTGGCAAGGGCTTTTGTGATTGCAGCAATGTTTGTCACATCATCGATCCCACTATGAAGACGACCCTACAAAATTTGAAATGAATTCTTGCTATAAAATTGATGTCACTCACTGCATGTGAAAGTTGTAGTTCTTTAAGCAAATGTTTCATTCCCGGAGCGAAATAGCCTCGATGTGAGCAAAATGACTTTTTAACGTTGATCCATTCCGAGAAATACCTAAAGCTATCAATGCAGCCAGAATTGCCAAAAATTAGGTACTCTGGAACTCCGAAGTTTTTATGTTTCGCTTCCGCCGGTAGTTGTAATTGTAAATCCCAATCACCACAAGTGACAAATATAAATCTAAACAGAGGTTAAAAAAGAGTATTGAAAACGTTACCTTGAATTTATGATATCTCTATCACGTAGCCATGTATCAAAGTCGTCCAGCACTTCGGGAAGCGTTGGTTGATTCTCAACCATTTCCTATCAAAATTGTGATGTGTTCAATGAAGTTATAAAACCTGAATGATTCCTGTCAATTGTGAGCAAAAAGTGGTTAAATCAGGCCGCTCTGTGGGACGGACATATTTATGAAATCGTGAAACCTAAAAGTGACTTGACTAGTTTGAAAAAAAGCTATACCTCCTCCAAAGTTTTTCCATCTAGTTGAATCACTGGAAATTCAATAATCTCCTAAAAATATAACGATCTTTCAAGCAACAAAAATATTACTTGACAAGGTTTAATCTTGGCTCCATCTTCACACGTTGCTTCAAAGTCCAAAAGCAAGAAATTGTCAAAGTTTTGTTCGGGAAACGATGCTGCCGATGTTGAAGGCATTCTAAAAGTTAAAACCACTACTAGTTAAGTTTTAAAAGTAATAATTTGCTTTGCCGGACAAATCATTTTACAAATGTAAAATAAAATGCGAAAAAATGCTATTAGTAAAGTAACTTACGCAAACTTGACGTTTACTGCATTGGGCGGATCGTTTGGTCGTTTCTTGTGCCTTGTCGTGGCTGATCGAGAAGAAAATCGCTAAATTTCAATTAGTCAAAAATAACATCAGAACAAAGTAAGGTATCAATGCTCAAAAGAGTCACAAACCAGGCTTTCCCTTGACGACGATATTGATAGTATCCTTCTGACAATCATCAAATTCTAAAACGTTTTGTGAAACTTTCTGCTGAGTCTGTATAAATTATCAATGCGACCATTTGCATGTCTGACGGAAAATCAAAAGCTTTTGTAATGCCTTTATTTTCTGATGAGCAATAAAACACAAGAGATCATATGGTATAGAGAAAACAAGCAAAATAACAAAATTCAAAACCATATTTTCACGATAAATAGAATTAATTAAAAACATTAAAACTACTATAATTAGTCACAGGTTCACTTTGACGGTTGAATTCTGTAAAACTCGAATTAGCATGAATTATTTAGTATTCTAAAATACCACCCTCCATTCTTGTCGGCACATTGGGCATTGAGCACGAGGAGCATTTCCACTTATCCATTTCTTGATACAATGTTCATGAAATGGATGACGGCAGATGCCAACAACCTAAAATATTTCACAACAATAAAATGAACCCATTCAAATTCTTAACTACTCAAACGCTACATAGCAACTAATAACTTGCATACTTACAAGTGGACAATCATCACCCGGTGTTCGACACGATACACAGCAAGCTTCAAAGGGCATCTGACAAATGCCACACGTATCGTCTCCGCCAGCAGTCCACTTCCATTCGGCTGCCACCTAAATTGTTACAAATTAGCAATAGTTTTTTTTAAACGGAATATTTAAACAACGTACATGCAATGCCTTTATTTTGATTCCTAAACGAGTCTTCGATGGCAAATCCACCGGTGGAGGCAAGCGAGCGATTGGGGCGTTCTAAGAAAACGAAAATAAAAGTAAATATCAGAGTTAACCTCATCATTTGTCGCATTCATCCGCAAAGGTCGAAAATTAGACCTAGTCACTAAAAGTTCTAAAGTACACACCTGAGTTCACAAAACATGAAAAAGGCTAACTTTTTGAAGAACGTGGCATCTCATCTTCTGAGGCACTCAATGGGGAAGAATCCGTCATACTCTGAAAAGATGATTGTAAAAGTGATAAAATACGAAGTTAACTTACCTCATCATTTGTATCTAGAGGTTCAAAAACCGCTTCTTGCTCATTCATATCAGCGTCGTTTTCATCTTCCTAGAACAAAAAGGCTAGGCAAAATTAAGGAATTCTTGAAGGTTTCGCATAAAATTTACCTCATTTCCGCGTCCCGAATTTTCATTGTCTTCGACTGTGCTAGAAGTACTATCGTCCGCCATTGTCTAAATTTTGAAACTAACATTAAGACGAAACACCAATGCTCATCACTTAGTCACAACAAAAACCAGTGTCAATGAGTTGAATAAATTTTCCAATTTGCCCTTTTTTGCATACCTGCATGCTT